ATGTCGAGCATGGAATGTTACTTGAGGACGAACAACGGAAAAATAAGGTTTGCGAAGATTATTTTCTAAGGAAGTTTTCATCGGAGGGTTGTTCTCAAGAGTTCTGAGTTATCACAGAGGAAAAATTTGGCTCTAGACAGGAACCCAACCTGTTCCATCCCCCCCTCCTCTTCCGGGTCGAAGGTCGCCTTGACCCAGCATTCTTCTGATAACTTTCGCGCTGCCAATTGTAGCGATATCTCAATCAGGGCACATCCTGCCGTTGGGGAGCAATTTGTTCCGACCCGTTCTGCCTACGGTCCCCACCCTACCAACCATCTTCTCCAGTTTTTCCAGCTTCATATCATTTTCCGAAGTTTTCCCGAAAATTCCTCCAGACGGAGGGTGAGGCGGGAGGAGGTGGAGACTTATAGTGCTTTTCAAGCATGAAAAAACGAGAACAATGGACAAACGAACAACCGAAAACATTTTTATCAGAGGCAAATGCAATCCCTTCCCTCTTCCAGCGACCAAAATCGACCCCCTCGCTGGGAATTCCCACCGTACTACGTGCCCTGACACTGATCAAAGACATCTGAAACTTGTTTCTTCTGTTTTCCCTGATTGCGCTCACTTTTGCACGTTTCTATACTTACGATTTTCTTTATCCAGACTTTACGCACTCAAATGGGCTCGTACAAAGCGTTGTCTGAGGAGAAGTCTCGAGAAAATGACAAACTGATTATTAAGGTGGATAAGGTGAGATTGCCTTTTATCACTTGAGAAAGCTGATAGTTTTTTCAAGTTACTGAACTAATGCTAGCAGAGGTTGTTTTCATGATTATTTTCAACTCTTAGCATATCTGTTTTTTTAATCAACAACTGCCTCATCCGTCAGTGAACTTCTTATAACTACCAGTGGCGCTTCAATTAGTCCTCAACTCTTTTTTTAGTTGGAACATGAATTAGCCACCGCAAAAGATCGTTTGGCTGCTGCTGAAGTTCGTATTGAAGGTCTTGTTCAAGAGAAGATTTTGTTGGAGAATAAGATATCACATGAGCGTAAGTTTACTTTCAACTTTTTCGTGATTCAAGTCTCTGACTTCATGTCCACTGGTATGTGGATAGGATGGTCAGGGGCTACTTCACTGGCCACGTTCCCGTCTGTGCAAGCCTAGGTGCGTTGTGCCTCTGTTCAAAGGCTTAGAAGCATTGTGACTGAAATAAGACGAAAAAAAAATTGACGAAAAGAGTATTACGACATCTTTTCCTCTGTTTACCTTATTGTTCTGTCTCCTGTTTCGTAGCTAGTCTGCGACGCGGGTTTGTCAGCGTACAGGGTTTAGACGTTCCGTTAAGCGCCCATAAGAGTACAGCACCGTGAAGTGTGGAATGGTGGTGTCAACAGGGTAGAGCATCGTTGTGTGAGAAACATAGAGGGTCGTATTTTCTGCTGGGGAGAGGGGTCGTAAATGGTCGTTGGGGGGGGGGGTCGTATGTGTGTTTGAGAGGAATTTGTCGCATTGGGAAAAATATTTTTCTCGATTGTTGACTTTCGCGTGATTTTTATGGTTCCTGTGTACGATACGCCTCTCCCCCCTCCCGCTCGACGGAAAATTTTTGGGTGGAAAACTGGAAAATATGGGAACTTGGTAGGGTTGGGGAAGGGGGGGGGGTCATACCAGACCCTGATTTAGGTGGGGAGTCGTACAGACGCACCCTGTTGCTCGGAGGGAGGCGGGGTTCGTACCTATACCACCATTTCCCACATCATGATGCTGTACCCTGGGTGTCAGTCATCAGTCTCTCCTTTGCTCATCCTACTTACCATCTTCCCAAATTTTGCCTACTTCCTAGCTTTTTTCGAAGCTTCCAATTCTTTTTTTTGCCCAAAAAAAACTGACGTCGAACTAGGGGTAAGGGGTATAGGGCACAAGGAGTGGGAAATGTCAACACGGAAAATTTTTCATCGCTGCTGGGAAACATTCCTATCAGGGCCATATAGACCCCTTCCACCGCAACGATCAAGCCTGACCTTTCCTTTGGTCAACCTTTACTTCTCGCGCATTCGCCTAGATCCATAGCTATACAACAAATAATTAAATCGTAATTCTGCCATTGACTGTTTCATCAATCTTTCTTTCATTTCCGAAGCCTTACTTTCATTTCCTTAGCTATTGTAGAGCATCATTCGGCTAATTTTGGCTTGGTGGAGGTATTTTGCTGATTCATATCAATCACCGCCGTTGCCTTTTGTGGGGACCTGTAACTTCCCGTGGAGACGTGTAATAACATAATCTTCTTTTACACTTGACAAGAGTTTACACGTCTTATGTCAGTGAGGCGAATGATTTAACAGGAGCAAGCAAAAAAACCTAAGTAAGAATGGGGAAATGTCCCCCCCAAGCCGAACATTTCCGCCGCATCAGTTCTTCATTTGCGTGAGAAAGCTGAAGCAAGCTGTTTCAGTATCGATGATGGATAGCGTGCATAGTTTGCATACGTCAATGCTCGAATCCACTAATGGCGAATCGTCATTAGACAGCAGTCTGATGGAGTAAGCAGCTCGTTTTTGTTGCCTTTCCGAAATGCTTTCCAGAGCCATGTCATATGATTCATATATTGATATTTGAGAGATCGCATTCGTAATGTGGAGCTGGAAAACTCCCGTCTTCGTGAAAGAATTAAGGAAATGGAGGAATTGGAGGTAGTGAAAGGCGAGATGGATGTTGTTAAAGGAAGGAATCATGAGTTGGAAAGTGAATTGCGTTTAGCTAACAAGAAGAAAGTTGATCTAGAGGTGAGTGGTTCGACTTGACAGTACTCGGATCTTCTGTATATGACGGTGATTAAGGCTAAAGTCGAAGAATTGGAGCGTTCGGTTGAAATGGCTGCTGCCTCGTCGTCTGGAGATGTTACAGAGGTGAAGCTAAGGGTGAGTTTCCTCCTTCTCTGCCTTTCTTTCGGTGGAATTCAGGCTGTCTGCCATCAGGTGGTAGCTCATAGTTATGAATTTTGGTTTGTTTCAGTCGGAAAAGATGTCGATCGAAGTAGACCAGTGGAAACAGAAGGCAGAATTGTCTGAGAAACGCGCCGCAGAAGCTTTGGATGCGCAACTGTTAGCTGAAGGTAGTTTTTCTACTTTCTTCGTTTTATATTCTTGGTTTTTTTCAAACATACTTCAAATATATTTTTGAAAAGTCATAGAATTGACTGGGGCCTGACAAGCTTTTAACACGTTGACGACATTGCGTCCCACTGCTGGGATGCGGCATGGGTAAAAAACCAATTTGAAGACGTTTCGAATTTTCAACAGCTGCATATTGTCCATGAAGGCATTGTATTAGGTTGTCCGGAAAGTTCTCAGCGTTTTGTGTTACTATTTTTTGTACATTCATTGCTGATTAAAAACTCATTCGTCTCAGTAGTACATCCTGAAGAGAATTTTTGCGCTATCTGATGGTATAATTGCCGTTTCACCATTGCTTGATAAACCCCCTTTCCAAGACTTTTGAAGCATGTCAAAAGAGCAACTTCGGACGATATTTTTCTTCGACTAAAAATTGGGTCAATCCGCAATCGAGACAGCTCAACAAATTAACCAGGTGTGGGGGCCCAATAGTGCTAGAGAAAGCACTGTGCGGCAATGGCTCAATAAATTTCGTTCTAGAGATTTCAGCCTTGGAGTTGAACCTCGTAGCGGTCGACCTAAAGCAATACCTGACGAGGATTTGAAGGCGTTTGTGGAGGCTGACCCATCCCAAACAGTTCGAGAGATTGCAGAAAAGCTAGGCGTTGGCAAATCCACTGTTGCGGATGGTCTGAAACGCATTGGGAAGGTGAAAAACTTGACAAGTGGTGCTCCACAATTTGAGTGACCGGCAGAAATTGGTACGTCTCGCGATTCCCTCTTCACTGCTTTTGCGCAAAAGAAACGACGCCCGCTTTTGCGACCGATGTCACCTGCTGATGGAAAAATGGATTCGTATGTACAGAGTGCGTTACGGACAGGTGGTTGGACGCGCATGAACCAAACCGAAAGGCAATTCAAAGCCGAACCTACCAAAAAAGGTCATGTTCGCGAGTTGTGGGTGCCGTCATCGGCTGCGTGTTGATCCGCTATAACTTTTTGTCGCGGGAGGCAAACCATCACAGCAGAGTCCTACTGTGAAGAAATCGACGAAATGTACCGAAAATTGCGTCAGCTGCAGCCAGCACTTGTCAACAGAAAGGGTCCGATTCTTTTGCATGACAACGCCACCCACACGTTTCACAAGTCACTATCCATAAATGAACGAATTTGCGAGTTGTTGGAAGTCCTACCTTCATGCCGTCCATATTTCCCATGTCTCCTTTCACAACCGACTGTCCACTTTTCAGACATTTTCGAGAACTTCTTTGCCATGGAAAATACTTATCAATTAGGGGCCAGCAAAAAAAGCCTTCTTAACACTCCGAGGATTCTCGACCATACCCAGTTTTTTCTCTGTTGATGGATTTATCGACTGGTTTCACATTGGCAAAGTGTGCTGATTCGAACGGTGCCTATTTCGATTAAATCCGATGAGTATTAAGAAAGTTATGATCGTTTTGAAGTGAAACACTCAAAACGCTGAGAACTTTCCGGATAACCTAATAGAATATACAGTAGCTGTTAACAGTGCGGTTGTGTCATTGAGAGTATTTTACCGAGGAGACAAACGAAAGTGATTTCCTAAAAAAAAAGGTAATTTTCGGATATACAGAACTGAAGCTCCACATGCAGATAGCCGATGTGATAAGGTAACTTTCAACAATAGCAGATTTTAATGGAATCCAGTTTACCACTTCTGGCGCGAGAATATTCCTTTTTGCGTTTCCACGCTCCTCGTGAATGAGGCGGGAGTATCCCATGAAATTTCAGGGTTTATCTTGAAAGTAAACAAGGATAGCAAAGCCTTACTAGCTTCTGCAATGAATTCTGACAATTCTTCAATTTTTTGGCGTATAAACGCCCTAGCATTTTTATGCGCATTCCGAAAATAGGGGAAAACTGCTTTGTCCCACGCGGCAGACACGCGAAAAGGCGCCTTGTCGCCAATGTGTTAAAGTTCTCTAATATCGGCCTCAGAATATCTTTTACCATTACGCGTGCACCCTATTTCCTTTTTTCTTCCTCAATCCTTCTCTCTTTCTCTTCCTTGTTTCCCTTACCTCAAATGCTGGGCCAGAAATGCGATGAGAAAACACCTCTAGACCCTCACAACGAGAGAACATCCGGTTGACAGAAGCTGTGATCCTACCGAAATCGCGCTTTATCTTGAGCCGCGGTTCCACTACATTCGCTGAGTCTGAGAGCTGCCTTTATGCTCGTAAAGACAACTCTCCCGCGATAAAGTGATTAGATAGTGGCTGTTCTATTATGAAACAGCAGCTGATAAGTAATGCCTTAAAGGAGAAAAAAGCAAGACGAGTCCTCAAAAACACCATAAACAAAATCGCTCCCTCTCAGTCACACCGCCCTGCGGTGTGTGTGTGTGTGTGTGTGTGTGCGTCCCTCGCTCACAAATCCCGTTTTCGCATCTCCGAGTAGTAGATATCATCCAGTGCAAAGAAAAGAATACGAAAAACAACAAAAAAAACCGGCGGAAAACTCCTGACAAAAGGAAACCTTCAAAAACTCGGCGTGCGAATTAAGGGTTACGGTAGCTCGCATCACTCGTGATTTTTACGCGTTTTACCTTGCGAGATGGGTTGCACTTGCTGTATGTGCTCCTAATGAATAAAATGTAATAAAGGAGAGCAGAATCATTCATGGGCACGAGCGCGGTCAGCAAAAAGGACATGCAATTCCGATTAATGCCGCCGCCCCAACAAAGAACAACTGAGCGGCTCTCCGTCAGAGGGCATCTAGCAAGTGGGCGGTCCAACTGAGCGGGCGTTAGAACTAGAACTTTCAGCGCTGTAGCTCGCTCCTCGCTCGCTGTGGAGTCGCGAGAGTGGGACAGTCTCTAGCTTGGGGGCTGGACTACTTGCACAAGGAAGGACGACCATGAATTACTTGAGCGCGGGCTGTCTTTAATGACCTCGGGTTATTTTGCGATATTAATGCATTTTCTGATGTCAGCTTGAAGAGCTAGTGTTTGCATTTGATTCTTTTTTTGAAGATTTTTGAATCTTTGATCAATGTTTTTAGGCAAGCTGAAGGAAATGGAGTTGGAATTACGCGAAGAACGTGAATCGAAGCGATCATATTTGGAGAAAGCGCGACAAATTATTATTGATCAGGTCAGTTGTAGCTGAAGGTTCACCCGCTGAGTTTTGGATTTTTGCATGAATGCTCTTTTTTCTGAAACTCTACTATCCACAGGGATATGAAAAAATGAATTGTGAAAGTTCGCTCAGTATTGTTTTTTGGGCGCTATTTTCGTAGTCACTATCATTGCACGTATACAAGATAAGAATATCAAGCGTGAGGGCGAAAAGCGCCTATTTTTTTTTCTTCTCTCAGCCCGAGCGAAAGACCTTGTATATTTCAGCAAATTGGACGTGGCATGCATTGATTGCGATGCACGTTCTCTAGATTGGTTTCTTCTGCTTGATCGGTTGTATGCAAACTGTTTCTGTGTAACAATATGATGGACGCGGTTCACTGATATTCAGCGTACAGCATCTGGATGAGTGATCTGGCGCTGTCAATGCCCCTCTCCCCGAATTTCGTCTTCCACGATACCGCCCATCCTCGATAGCTAGTCTGAGAGGGGGGAGGGGAAGTGTGAAGCAC